TACTATTCTGTGAATGTCCTTAAGTGGCCTGGCCAGAGCCCAGACTTGAACTCGATTGAGCATCTCTGGAAAGATCTGTTAGTAGCTGTACGTCCCCATACAACCTGATGGAGCTTGAGAAGTTCTGAAAATTAAAAGGGAGAAACTGCCCCAAAATAGGTGTAACTCAAAAAGACTGAAGGCTACAATTGTTACTTCAACAAAGTTTTGAGCAAAGGTTGTGAATACCTATATAGATGTTACATTTTGGTATTTTATTTTTAATACATTTGCAAGAATTTCAAGCTAACTTTTGTTAAGGGTATTGCGTGTAAAAGTAAATAATGAATATAATCAATTTTGTAATAAAAATCTAACATGATAAAATGTGGAATAAGTGAAACATTGAATAGTCTATGGAAGGTTAAAAGACTGCAAAAAGCAACAAATTATAACACACATAACCTTATTGGAAGGCGACAGTGCTAACCACTGCACCCACTGTAAAATGAATCACTATAGACAAAACAAATTTACAAACAGGTTTAATGACTTTTCTGAGGGGGAGGGGGATGGCCCCAAAGGCACCATGCGTCATGTATTGTTAGATACATTTGTTGATTACATAGTCCAACTTCTACTCAAAGTATAAAATTGCAATGCACATTGGTAACAAAGACAATAGTAAACCATCTTAAACCAAAAAACAAAGAAGAAAACTGCCCACACCATTCAGAATATGATACATTAGATATCTCATTATTAATTATCAATATCAGCACAATCACACATTTTTTTTTCAGTGAAGCATATGGCAAACACTGAAAGTCAAGACAACTGAATCAAAACAAAATATTAATCTTTATAATGGCAAAAATGTCTGTATAAAAGATAGACTGAGATACCTACTAGAGGAGGAGTGTTATTGTATCTAGCTTGTGAAATATGACATTCAAAGCCAGGTGCAAGTATGCCACCATACAATATTTTAAATTTGAACTTGTCCAGTGAACCTCACAGAGTAGACACTCATCTAGCAGGACCCATGAGTTGGCAGTAAATTCTATCTCTAATATAAGTCCTACAATACTTTTAACATCTCCATCATGGTGGAAAATCATCACCAATACCCCACCCTTCCCTCCTGCTATTTCTTGTTCAGCCCTATAAATAACAATCAATGGTCATACTCCACAGCACAGAGACAATAGCTCTCTTTCAAGACAGTTATTCAGATTGATGTAACAATTATTTCATATGTAATGTCAGTAAAAAAATGTCTTAAATATCAAAAAGTATTTTAATTAATGAATGCAGCTTCTCCACACATTACAGAGAGGAGTGAAGCCAATGTACCAACTTCACAGCATACAGTCTCTTTTTTAAACAAAAGAAACAGTGGTTAACTTCTCTCTGCTTTAACCATGGTCTCTGTGCTGAGTTTAGCTGATCACAAATATGAAGACCCCCCCACCCCCAAACACTCCTATGTAACACATATTCCTTTAGTATCCACTTACTCACAGTACAGAAACAATTCATTTTATTCAGTAACGCTACATACCTCAAGGCAGAAAATAAGCACTGTGTTGCTGCACTTCTTAATCTTTTAAGTGCAACTGAGCACACGTCTTCAAACAGAGAGAAATAACAGGGCATCTCATAAGTAAGGCAAAGCCCTGGGTTTATGTCAGGAAAGCAAAGGTTCAAGACATCCCTAGTGTCAAAATCAGTTATAGATAGATGCTTGTAAGACCTGATTTTTTTTTTTAAAAATTGTGTAATAATATATGTATAAAAAAAAGAACCTTAATAACATGGCGACACAATTAACCTTCTCCCTGTACACTTGGACTGTAAAACCTGGGATGTTGTTTTTGTTTTTTTGTAAAATAGACCTCATCAGAATTAGTTATCCCACTCCTCTGCGTGCCTGAATACAAGAACTGCCCCAAAAGATGTTGATCTGAGGTTTCTTTCCACATTTTTTTTCAAAATACCTGTATGAATATTTTCTTTTCATTTAAAAACAAGAGGTAGTAAAAATAAGGCAATCCGAAG